GATGAGATACGTTGATACAACAACACAACGAAGCAATCACTAAAGCTATCTCATTCACAGTTAGCCCAAAAAGCTTGATAAAGAGAGATTTCTAAACTCCTTATCCAGAAGCAAACTTCTCCTCCTTCCAAAAAGCTATAGTGTAAACACTTGAAGGTTTCCTTGCCTCAAGCACCACACCACGTTGAAGGATATTACTTTTGATCAAACTTATTGATTAAAAGGGGGTAGGTCAACTCTCTTACAAGTTGATCTTGCAAGTCCTATTGTTCGGATCTTGCAGTTGTTGATGAAGCTTGACCTTCGAAGGAACAACAAAGCCAGCACGAGTGCAGTAGCAACATTGGTCTTGTGAAGATATACCGTGCAGAAATTCAAACAAGTGTAACTGTTGGTTCATTATTCAACAACCAACTACATAGTGGATTTTGAGGACGTAGAAGGATTACCCACCTTCGAACCTCGTTAAAGTTTGCGTGTCTCTCTCTCTTATCTTTATTCTTACTTGCAATTATATTAACTGTGAAAACTAACCTATCCATATTGATTACCGCTCACTCCACCCACCAAATTCCGCACACAATCTAAAGTTCACAAGGACTCTAGATTAACACTCATTTTCTCGTTTTCAAAAGAAACGAAAAAGATTTTAAATCTGTAACAAAGTCTATTCACCCCCCCCCCTCTAGACTTTGGAAGATCATGATGGAAGCACACCTCTACGCTCTACATGATTGCATGTGGATGGTGCTTGAGGATGGACCCTTGAAAATTCAAATGGAGAATCCTGAGAGGAATCCAGCAACTCCAGACGTAGTCCAGTACATTCCAAAGCCCAAGGAAAAATGGGATGATAGAGATTGCAAAAAGCACAATCTGGATAACGTCGCCAAAGCAGCCATCTTCAAGACACTTGACCCCATCACCTTCTCCAAAATTAAGCACCTCAAGACTGCCATGGAGATATGGCAAGGTCTTGAGAAGCTATGTGAGGGTTCAGAGGACTTGAGAAAGCAGAAGATAGAAGTCCTGCTTGAGAAGTTCAAAAGCTTCAAAATGCTTCCTGGAGAATCATTTGATATGCTGGATGAAAGATTCCACAAAATCTTGAATGATCTTGCATCACTTAACCACGTTCTTTCTCCCAAAGAAAAGAATGTAAGGTTGCT